TGGATTTTGATAATTATTCATTTGGTGATAATTTGATGTCTTCTATTACAGATTGGCCCAAGAATGACTTTGCAGCTGGTCAAGATAGTAGAAGGCATGGGAGAAGGAAGCGTGCTTTATCATTCCATCGGTGAGTATAGCTTCATGTAAAAGATAGGGATGCTCATTTCGGTTCATTTTGCTAACCAACAACCGCTGCTCGTTAATGGAATATTAACGGTTAACTGGTCAGATTATTAGTAAATTTATATTTAAATAAAAAAAAAATGTATGTGTCTGACTCATTAAATGTTGTGTTTTAAAACACTAATTTATTTTAACATGTGAACATATTAATAACAGAACATTACACCAGGGCATCTTCACGCACCTGCAGTGTTTCCAACAGCATAAACAAAAAGAATATTTTTTACTTAAATTGAAAATTTTAGATTACAAAACGAAAACACTGAATGAATTCTTTTTATAAACCGGCATAGGCAGTTTTTTTTCGAATCTTATGTTTTTTGTTGTCAAAATAAAAATAGCAGGCTACCTCAAATCGATCACTCCACGGAAAATATGCATTTAATAATTGCCCCACTGTTATTCATATATCACAAAACCTTTAATTAAAAAAAGTCATTATTTTAAAGATTGTGTCTTGAGCATCAGATTTTTACCTTCTGAGCTTTTGTGCTTTTTTTTTTCTCACACACTCGCGGTTCATGTGCAAAGACAATGACAACGCATGCATATGTTGACTTTTTGTAAACAGTTTTGTTGTTTTAATATTATATTGCATTAATTTGCAAACAATGAAAGCTGTAGTCTATTTGTAGTGTTTATGACGCAGATCAGCATCAGCGCTGGTTTGACATCAACTCGTCTGTATTAAACTGCAACATTCTTTTTCCATTTTGCTTCTTTGGCAAATATTTCTGTAGGTACGTGTGGTTGCACGTGTTACCATCCTGCGAGTTAACAAATATGTGTTGCAGTTGCACATTAAGGGACCAATCACAGTGAACGCGCTTTTAGCTTTCAAAAAAAGCTATTTTTGTTGACAAAAAAAAAAAAGATGTCACTAGGAAACGACTGATTTGGCTGCATATTGAGTGGTTAATGTCAAATAATAGTTTTAATAATTTAATGGAGATATTCCAGAGATGGGTTGCGGATGGAAGGGCATCCGCCATGTAAAAACTTGCTGGACAAGTTGGTGGTTCATTCCGCTGTGGTGACCCTGAATTAATAAAAGGACTAAGCCAACAAGAAAATGAATGAATGAATTTAACGGAGACCATTAATCACACACCCTTTCGGTTAACGGTTAATCGATTATTTTGAGCATCCCTAGTAGGAGATCAAAACATTGAGCATAATGGTAAACCAAATCTAAAATGTGATTGTCTGCAGTCTCAAAAACCGAAGAGCAGATTCAGGAGATGCTAAAAAGGAAGGAGAAGCATCTGAAACTGAAAGAAGAGCGGAAGAGAAAGCAAGAAAAAAACATTGCCATGAAAAAAGAACAGCGTGATCTAAACAAGTGAGTACAACTGATCATCTGCTGTTGCTTTGTGGTTACAAATTTGGACCATGGTTAATCATGGGCTATATATATAGTTCCATTATTTCCTACAAAGTAAAAAAAAACATCTGTTGATTATAAATACTATTGTTTTATAACCCAGCTCTAAGCTGCTAAGGAGACACTCTAAAACATGGGTCTCAAACTTGATTCCTAGAGAGCCACAGCTCTGCATAGTTTTGCTCCAACTTTTATTCAAACACAGCTGATCTATTTAATCAAGGTGTTCAAGACTACTAGAGACTATTAAGCAGGTGTGAGTTGAAGGTGGTTGAGGCTAAACTATGCAGAGCTGTGGCCCTCCAGGAATTGAGTGGGTCAAGTATAGTTCCATCCTTGTTCACAGTAAAGAAATTAAACGTTTCTAGAACTAAAGAAATTGTTTCTTTTTGCTATATCCAGGGTTTTCACAGGTAATGAAATTTCTGGAATGTCATGGAATTTTAAGAGTATTTTAAACATTTAAGTGTATTTCAGGCATATAAAAGTATGTTCAGGTATTCCATATGTTTTGTCACATTTATGGAATATCAAGGATTTGTTTTTTATTTTTGCTTCCTATTTATCTCCTTGAATTATATGTACATTGTTTGTGGGTGTTCCGATTGGGAAAAAAATAGTTTATTGCTAAAATGACTAAAATGAAATCGGTGCAAATTTTAAAGAAGGTCACAGCAAAAGTCAGTACTTGTGTGGTTTTGCTATAAAAATATACACCCTAGTTCTTTTTTTTTTTTTTTTTTTTTTGGCTTCTATTTATATAAAGGGAACCCAGAGAGAAAGAGAGAAGGCGTTTTCCTCTTAAGGTGAAGTAGGTGATCTGCCAAAATGCTTACTGGTTAGCATGTTGTACTGCAGGGAAGGGACTGTTTCTCAAAGCCAAGCCCCCTGAAATCGCGAATGCGCGTACCACGACATGAGAGCAGACAACCCACTGGTTCATGTCATCACCAGTTAGAAATGTAGTTTGTGGTTGGCCGGCGGCGTGCAGGAATTACACTCATTTCTAAGCCATACTTGAATGCTATTTCAGAACTAAAAAAACATCTACATTATCGATGCTGTTAAAGGTCCCTTATGAAATTGAAAATAGTCACATCTATCTTTCACCGGGAGATTTCATTGGTTAAACAACACCTCTGTTCAAATAACCCATTCATAACAACACAATCGACATCAGAAAAACTTCAGCCATGTTGTCATCCTTCCTCCAGCATGCAAGTAACTCCAAAATTGATTCAGCATTTTAAAAAGTGTCAATTTAGCTTTTCATGCAGGTGCTAATGGCTCATATGCGTGAACAGGTGCGCAGAAGGCCAAATCTGTATTTGATGACTGACAGTTTGGGCTACTTATCGGGAATTATGGGAGATGTCGGCCTGACAGTATTTAATTGGATGAAAACTTATGAGTTTTATGCCTCACTAAGAATATAAAAAGACATATGAATGCTTTTAGATCATTTACTGTAATCATTACTACTGGACTGTAAAGAGTCTTTCAACCAGCACAACAAAACATGTTTCTTAAAACAATCACCTACTGCACCTTTAACTATTTAAAGCCTCCTACATTAAACTCCAACAGCAACAATAGCATTAAAAAATAGTTAATTTTTGATTTAACAAATGTATCCTTTAAATAAATTCTATCCTGATCTCACGAGGAAAAATAGCTATTTTACGTTTTGTCAGTTTAAGGCTGATTAATACTTCTGCGTCGATCGCACGCGTATGCTACGGTGGAGCCTACACGTTGACGCAAAGTCCGCCGGTTTCTGCCTCAAAATGAGCGAGTTTGAGCCACTTGTACATCTAGGAAGCGTTTAGAAAAAACAAAATACCAGTGAAGAAACTCAACACAGAGGAACATTAACGCCTCACTGCCAACTAGCGTTTCGGAAGTGTTAATGCAGACCAGCAGAGACAGTATAAATGCACAGCTACGCGCAATGCATGCGCCGTGGGTTACTCCGGTCACCTGACGCAGAAGTATAAACCAGGCTTGAGTGACTAACTTGTAAGAATTCATCAAGTTCAGTCGTACAAAAATGTAAAACTTTAAAAAGATGGCCTCACACCCAACCCCACTCCTGAATCCAACCATCATTGGTTAGGCAAATCGTACTAAATTGTACCAATTAGCTACTACATCAAATAGTTACGTATTGCCGTGAGATAGCGTTGATAAATTCACATTGTAAAATTGTCTTATGAACCATCTAAAGCAGGTCAAATGCCTAGGGGGAAGTGCAGCACCATGCCTCGTCTATAAAAAAACTTGAGGTATCGCACACAGAAGTAGAACTTTTAATATGGAAATTTAGTGTTATTTACCATGAAACCATGCAGATGGTGTGGAAAAAATTTGAACAGTGTCCTGGCAGGCCAAAAAATTTTTGCGAAATCTGTGCGAAAAAAAAATCGTTAGGTTCTCAGTTTAGTTTAAATGTGCATTAAATTCAAAGATCGAAGAATTGATTGCTAAATTCAATCACTTCCTGTTTTTATTACTAATGCTTTTATTCAGTATACAGTAAATCATTCGGCTTTTTGTCCATAAAAGTCAGAGAATTGAACATTTAGTTTAGAATGGGAATGTTGTGTACCTAAAATAAACCACACTGTGACACGGCTGTATTATATTGAACTGAACTATACATTTTGTGAACCATTACACCCCTAAAAATCATCTATATGATTTAAATACTCAAAATATGAAATTTCTTAAAGAAAACGGAGCTTGGAGGGCATCAAGAGAAAGCGGGAGCAGGAGGGCCAGGGTTCAGATAATGAAGTGGAGGATCCTGGGATGCAGGAGGGCCAGGCTCCAGCAGAGGAGTCTGATGATGAAGCTGAGTATTACAGACAGGCTGTAGGAGAGGAACCAGATGAAGGTACGGCTTCGTAAACAATATTTTAGAAACTCTTTTGGTGTAATTCAATTAATTTTGCCCCTCAACTCCATTTCAGACATGTTTCCTGGAGCAAAAAGGAAACACCGCCCTGGCAAGTCTCCAAACCCCTTCAAAAAGAGGAAGATGTCACCGGGGAAGGGCCCTCCTCCACATGATAAGAAGAGTTTTAAGTCTGGTGACCGGGGAAAGAAAGCTGCTGGGAAGCAGTTTGGCTATAAGAAGACACTGGAAGGAAGGAGCCAGTTTAAAAAGAGTGGAGGCGGCAAGAAATTTGTCAAAAGGGAAGAGAGGGGGAATAGGTTTGGCCAGAAAAAAGGAGAAAGCGGTAAGAGGTTTGGTGTAAAGAAAACATTTAAAGGACGGTCAACAACGAAACAACAAAGAGGCTCTGGAGGAAGAAAAGACTTTAAACACAAGAAAGGAAAAAGCTGAAGGAAGTGAAAGCGCAAAGTTTAAAGAGCTGAACCAGAAGGTGGAACTGTTGTTTCATAACTGATGTGCCATCTCTACGCTGAAAAATCTTACAAAATGTCAAAATTGTGCCTTGTATATATTTATAGAGTTGGTTGCATTCACCAATAAATAAATCGTCAAGTAGCTTCTGTTGCAACTCTTCAAATGCTTTTAAGGGTGACGCATGTCTGTGTGATTTCACACATTGGTCTGTTAAAAAGTGCATTCTTTGCATGAGACAGGAAGTTTGACACATTTACAAGGGTGGCTGTCGGACGATTTGGTGAAGCAGAGGTATATGGTAAGTTTTATTGACTCGTTATTTTTTAATGTACAAGTACTTTTTTATAATGTTGGTTTGCACAACGTCCCATAAAAATAAACCGGTAAGGGTTAAAAAAAAAAAAGATCAAATATTTCCTGTCAGATGGTGTGTTTGTTAAGAGCTGGATTGCATTATGTTAAATCCCAGTTGAGTAAAATATAAATTGAAATCTGTCTTTTAATTGAGATTTCTTGGGAAACAGTAAGGTGTTTTGCTTGGTGAAATGGTTTAACTCAGTTCAATAATTTTGTAGCTAGTAAAGAAATGTCTCAATTTCATTAACAGTCTTAAATGTAAAATTGTTAACAAATGCTGAACTGATTGTAGCAAATTGTATTTTGACACTACTGTCCTGTTTGTTGAATGTACTTACTGTAGTAACAAACATTATATTATGCATAATTACAACTATTTTAACAGTACTCCAAAACTTAACCCTGTAGCAAGTACAGCGTTAATGAATAATACTCAGGACTTGTGTATATTGTAGTGACATCGTAGCAAGAACTGAAAATAGAGTAGTCCAACTTGGTTTACAATTCAATTGTTATCTATTATTTTTAGTCGTGGTGCTGGTAACCACAGTGTATGTGTGATAAACTGCAGACAGTAATGTATACATCTTAATGTACTTGACTTGCACTCCCCCTTCCCTTTTGTTTTCTTTACTTCACTTTGAGGTTACTGTAATGCATTATACTCTGAGGTCTTCCTCAATTCCCCTTCCTAAAATGCTGCTGTCAGGGTCAAAACATACAATCAGGTTACCCTCCCTCTGTTAGCGTCCAGTCCCTTTTAGAATTCAGTTTAAGATTCTGTTGTTATTTTTAAAGTTCTTAACAATCAGGCTCCATCCTACTTTAAACACCCTTTGGCCCACTACTCCATCTTGAAGATCTGCTGACATGACTCTTTAGATGTCCCTCAGTTCTCTTTAAAAACTAATGGTCAAACAGGTTTTTTTAGTCACTACCCCTTGTCTGTGGAACCAGTTGCCAAGATTACCTCCCTGACCTTGCATTACTTCTTTTAAAAACATCTTTTTTTGAGTTTTAATTGTATTCTCTTTATTATTGTCTTGTTTTAGTTCGTTTAATTTTCTTTAAGCACTTAGGAAAGCGTTTGCAATGTTTGATGTACCATTTAAATACATTTTACTTAATTTTTATTGTCACACTTTTATAAACTTGCCTAAAGTTCTAATTATAAAATATCTGATAGTGGAGTAGTGTTTTGTTATTGTGTCCTGTTTTTGCTTTAGTGGTGTAGGCAACTAACTAAAATGGCCATAAAATTAAAATAATATGAATGGCATAAGTATGATCAAAGCATAAATTACAGTATATTATATCACAACAATAGCCAAGGAAAGTAAAATTAGTATTCTTCATTGTTTGGTACTTTAGAACCTTCCAGTTAAAGTAATCAAGGGGATTTTTAAACTAAACTTCAATGAAATATCTGTATTCAGACTGTATGTCAATTGTAAATTAGCAATACATAACATTGACAATGTGTGAACAGCTTGTAATTAAATAAAAAAATTTCCTTCCTAGGTTTTCTTTAAAAGCCAGATTGACGGCCATTGTGTAATGTAAATGTATCAATAAGAGAATTATTCACATTTACAATCTGACAGCTAAATCTATATTCTCTAGTCTATACTCTCAAATATACATAAATAAAATATATTTTAATTATCTGCTGACATAATGGCAGCACAGTGTAAACATGATCAGATCTTAACTTCTGTTTTCCCACAGATGTCATTTTTTATCAAAATCAGAGAACAGCAATCATTGTAGCACAAAGAAGGATTACAACTGGACTTTCTGAAGGTTACAGCAGTCAAAAATGACTTAGGCCCATCAGAGCTGTGATCTTGATTTGGTTTTCTTTAGTGTCCTACAGTTATCAGAATGTAGTGAATTTCATGACCTAAAGGGTTAGTTCATCTAAAAAAATTTTATTCAGAAAATTACTCACTTTTATGTTGTTCCAAACACCTGAGACATTCATTCATCTTCTGAAAACACAAAATATATTGGATGAAATCAGAGAACTCCCTCATCCACCATATCAGTAACGACCTGCGTTATAATTGTAATTATTATTTTTTTTAATTATCCTCAAAACGAACCATATGCATTGTTCAATCGGAATATTATCAAGCTTCGAGAACAGTTTTGTGCGCACATAAACAAAAATAATGACTTAGTTGAGTTTCTTCTCCTCCGTGTTCCATTACAGTTTCACTCTATAAGAGGTGTTGCCAGATATAGCTGACTTTTTCCAGCTCAAAAGCGGTTTAAAACCTGCCAAACGCACAAAAGAAACTCCCAAAATGTTATATTATTATTTTATTTAAATCGAAATTAACCTAGTTACTTTAACTGTCAATGTTTAACCATACACAACCAACACCAGCAGTTACAGAACCACAACATACACTACGTGTACTACGTATTAGAGCAAGGGTGTCCAAACTCAGTCCTGGATGGCCAGTGTCTGGCAAAGTTTAGTTCCAACCCCAATCAGACTCCTGGGCTAGCAAATCAAGCTTTTACTAGGCTGTCTAGAAACTTCCCTGCAGGTGTGTTGAAGCAAGTTGGAGCTAAAATCTGCAGGACACCGACCCTCCAGGACAGAGTTTGGACACCCCTGTATTAGAGTATGATTTATTTTGAAATGGGGTATAAATTTGTCCTGTTTGGCATTTTTAATTCTTCTGAACATAATGTGCTGTTTGTCAATCAGACAACGCTTCTATGTTTCTTCTTGTCAATTGGAAAAAATGATGAATGAAAGTGTCATGAGTTTAACCACTGTGAGTGGTGTGCAGGCGCTGCGTGAAGGGAGTCAGATTTTAGCTGCGTCTTAAATGGCACACTACCAACAATGCACTCATGCACTATGAACGTATGCACTTACAAACTCAACAGCATAGTATGTGTATGTAGTGTCGTCCCAAATGGAGAACTAGTGTTTTTTTACTAAGCGGAAATTCAAAAAGTTTCACTGATGGCGTTTGACGGTTGCAAAATCAGTGAAATAAACGACCAAACTATCAAATAATACCTGCCATGAGTATAACCGCATTCACCATCAGGAGGAGGCACTATATTAATCACTCTCATAGGAGAATTTTGCTTTCACTATCTAAAATAAATAAAGTTATCCAACATGTGCACCCGATAACTCCGCCCCTTCTGCTACGTGAGCAAAACTGCAGTCGTTGAGTGTGTGAAGTGTCCAACATTATACAATTGGTTTTACCACCTGAATGAGTGCATCATCCGAGTAATCATAGTGCTCTTATTATTTTCAGGGTTTTTAGTGTGAACGCACTACTTACACTATTTATACTACAAAAGGGTGTAGAATAGTGCAGGGGTTCCCAAACTTTTCAGGCCGCGACCCCCAAAATGACAATGCCAGTGACTCGCGACCCCCAATATACTCTGAGGTGGTTATAAATACAGAAACCTTGCATGCAATGGCGCATACACACCAATGGACCCAAGTCCATTCAGTCTTCTTTTAATTTTTTTAATGTATGAGAGCTGGAAATGGGCCACAAAGTTTAACCGGGTGTTATGAAATCTGCTGCATCTGACGCTATTGCTGTGTCTTTAATACAATGTAATTACCCCAGGAGTTGCAATCCAATAGAAGTAGTAACTATAAGCTACTACAGTAACTATATACGGCATAAACGACTTTTTTTTCTCTTCAGTAGGTTATGGATAAAATATGGTAATTCTTATGGTTTAATAAAAATAAATAGATTTTTGGAAACCACCAGGCGACCCCCCCTTCATTGTCCCGCGACCCCTCGGGGGGTCCCGACCCCCACTTTGAGAACCATTGGAATAGTGCATAAGTATGCGATTTGGGATGCAGCTTTTGATGCAACTTTCCTTCACCTCCTCTAGTAGGTGGGCCCACTTGGTTTGCGCTATGCACTGGTCACTACTAACTGAATGGAGTACACAGTTGTTTTGTTGAATAAGTTGCATATAAAAGTTGTTTTAAAACCCAAATTTTGTCAACCTGCCAATGCCATTTTTTACCTGCACCATCAAATTCAAAACTGCCCAATCTGGCAACACTTTCTAAAAGCGCAGTTTGGCATGACATGATGGGAGTAGGAAAACTTGCATTTTTAGGGTGAACTATCCCTTTATCCGACATTACCACTATACATACCTATCCTTATTCTGTTCCCTTTACTGACTTTTTTAAAGTTCACACAAAGCTCAAATATTCTGTCATCATTTACTCACCATTAAATTGGTCCAAACTTTGAACATGTTTCTTTCATGAGTGCAAAAGATATTTTAAACAGAGTTGAAACCTGTAACGATTGACTTAATGGATTTGTTTTTACTACTAAGGATATCAGTTTTCTTCAAAAAAAAATCTTATTTAATGTTCAACAGAATAAATAAACTCCTTCATGGCCTTAAGCCCCCCACCCCCCCAAAGGTATGTGATTAGCCCTGTTTCACACAATTCGTGATCGCCTCAGTTCCCTTTGAATATGCATCTGACTCCTCCCAGTCTTTCCGCGCATTTTTCAGTCGAGAAGTCAGCTCAGCAGACCCAAGCACGGAAAACAAGGTGTGTTTATCGATTAGATTGTTATAATATCTGCATCTGCGCAGTTCTTTACCACAAGCAGTTTGTAAAATGGCACGAGGGAGCCAATCGATTTACCTGTTCTGTTCTGTTTTCTCTGCGTTCACCTCTCACTTCACCACCTCCATCGAAAAGCCCCTCGTGTTTTAAAACGATAATGCTGTTGTTGCTATTTTTACTTAAAACATTCAACATTTATTACAGTTTATGTGGCTTCAACTACTAGTCAGTTCACTCATTGTAACTATTCTATATGTGATTGAAATTTAAATGTCTTATAGTATTTAATAGATTAGGGATTGTTTTTATACGTTCATCACTTTCATTCAAAAAGTGCTAAAGTTTTATGTGGAAACCAAAAATGTGTGATATAAAATAAAATGGATATTGCTGGTCAGTATTACAACAATGATAACATATATTCTCAATGAGTTTGCCTTATGAGTTTGAATATTTAAAAACTTTTGAAGGGTTGAATTAACATATCATGATTATGTACTGTTTTATTTCTGTAGCTAAAAAGCTTAATTGAGCAAGATAGCATATAATGATCTCAGTTATTTAGCTTTATTATTTAATTCAATTCATGTTTATTTCTATAGTACTTTTACAATGTAGGTTGTGCTAAAGCAGCTTAACAGAGAAGTTCTAGTAAACTGAAACGGTGTCAGTCCAATTTGTAGAGAGGTTCAGTTTAGTTCAGTTCATTGTGGTTTAATTTTCACGGTTGAAAGTCCAGCAAATCCACAAGCTAGAAAAAAAACTTCACCAATTGAAGAAAGTGAAGGGGAAAAAATAAACCTATTAAATGAAATAGACTTGCTTTTGACACTGGTGCCTTTTAGGGTGCTTTCACATCTGTGGTTTGGTTCATTTGGGCAACAAATTGTTGCATTTTCTGCTGTTTTCGGGTCCTTTTCACACCACACTGATTGGCTGTTTCTCAATATGCGTTCTTCAGCGGTCTTGCGTCCTCGTGTTCTCGTGAAACGTCATCATCAGCTGCCTAAGTTCAGTTCCAATACTCAAGACTGCAAGTACGGAGGACGCGTGAAACTTCCCGGATGTGTTCTTGATATCGAGGACGCACCGATGCAGACTTGAGCATCGAACTCACTCTGGAAGTCCCAGAAGTCATGGCGACTGGAGGTGGGAAGCGCTGCATTTTATCTAGATTTATTATTAAAGTTCATAGATATGAATTATTTACCTCAGGAGTTTCCCTAAATGAAACGGTGAAAGTAAACATTACCATGAACATCTTAATAAAGGAATAAACACATTAAGGGTGTTTGTTTGCTGAAATTCGTATTAAAATCAGTTTTTTTTTTATATTGTGCAACATATATTTATAATGTTTTTATGCAAAGTATATATTTTGAAAAGGGTAAAAACAATAAATCGTTGTATGAAGGCTGTAATGTTTAAATAATTTACTATTTAAAACACGTGAAGGTCATGTGACCATCAGGAAGAACGCAGCGTCTCAATTCTCAAAGGACGAGTTCTCTGCCCTCGCGGTCTCCTGAGTTCGTTCTTCTGAGGACACAAGTCTGTTCTCTGCGTTCTTGGAATTGAGAAACAGCCATTGCTTTGGTCTGAAGCAGTTGAAAAGAACCAAAATGCTGTCATGTGACAAAATCCACATCACTCATTGGCCAGATGTTATTGCATGTATTTCCTAAACTACTTTTCGATTGGTCAGAATTAACGTGCGGGAAAATGCCAATGGAACTCTCGCTAGTAAACAAACCGGCAGACACAAAATGTCGCTTTTGACTATGGAGAGACGACCCTGGTCATACTAAATATTTTGTTTATATGAAATATGAAATATGAAAAAAGGGTTAACCTAGGTGCCCTTTAACTACAACATAAGTCACAAGAGTTCATGTGTGAATAACAGCTACCTTAATTACTTGTTAGTACATGTTGTTAATTTAGTTGTTAAGCTAAATGTAACCAACATGAACTGATGATATGGTAATGTAAATTAATATGACTTTACATGGATGAGCATATCACCATTAACTCATCCACCATTAACATAAACTCCTGTGTTTAAACTGTTAATGCTGGTGTTGACTGAGCACTTTTTCATTGTTATTCAGTGTAAACGCAATGACATAAAAATGTGGAAAAGGAGTTCATGAGTATAATAATGTGCCCCATCAAGTAAAGTCATGATTTGATTATACATTAACATGTCATGAGTTCATGATGGTTAAACTAAGATTAAACTAATGTGGTAATTAATACCATAATTAACAAACAATCATGTACTAACAAGTAATTAGGGTAGCCATTATTCACACAAGAACTCATGTGACTCTTGTTGTAGTTAAAGTTAGTTCACGATTAGCGCATGCCTTATCATAAGATCATAATAAATTATGTTTAGTCATATTAGTCATTATAACTTGACAGTAGTTTAGTCATTACCAACTTAACTTGCATACATGACTAACGTGAACTTTAGACCAGTTTTCTGTCTATCCAACATGCTCCTCAGCAAAATCTGATTTATAAAGAAAGTGTGTTAAGGCACATTGTTGGTGCTTTGCTATTTTGAGAAACTGAAACAGACAATGCCATTGACCAACTAAAAGCTGGTCTAAAATCCAGCACAGAGTGTATTAGTTATGTGCCTATGCAGGTTCAAACTCTTAATATACACAGGATGTACATCAATACAAAAATATCTTTACATATGAAAAAAAAAGGATTAAAATGGTAAAAAAAATTGTTATCGACTGCATAAATAATAATAAAAAATAAAAAAACACACTACCTTTATGCCTTCTTCATCTCGGGGGTCTTTTTTCAGTTTATTCATGACAATTTGCATTTGTATTATGTTATTATTATTATCAGTATTATTTATTAAATACATATTCATACTTGTTTTAATAAAAACAAGTTTAGATTTGTCCACTTGTCGGATTTTGGAGACATATGCGTCACCATATGGGGCATAAGAGTAGGATGTGTATTTGGATATAACTCAGTTTTTTTCAACACTTTGTTATTATTTATTTATTTGTTTGCTGGAAATCAGAGCTGAGTTTAGAAATAGTTTTAAAACAAATCTTTGCGCTTAACAAATGAAATTAAATATGTAGGCTAATGGATATCTTCAGTGGAGGGCGTACAACACTGTTTCCTTATCCACAAAAGTAAAGGAGTAAAATAAAGAATAAATGGAAAGTAAAGAGGCTGAATGGAGGAGGCTCGTTCTTTATACTCGCGCTGCAGAGGGTCTGTTTAACTGTTTCCTCGCTAGTAAAGCGTTCAGTTTTTCCACTTACAAAGTCCACCATGTAAATAGCATATGCGCCACGGACCGACACAACTGACTCCTAAAGGGAATGAGAGATGAGACTGGTTTAATGCACTTTATGCTCAAAACACACCCATAACTCATTATGAGAATTTTACTGCAGTAACCAAGACGACACTATTTTTCCTGCTGTTCTACAGGCACCACGTGCTGGATTAGCATTTTAGTTCAGTATATGAATAACGTTTTAATTTAGGACTCGTTTCTTACAATCAGTATTTACTAAACATGCTGTAAGTTAAAATGTCGCCAATGTTACTGGTTGAAACCTAAAGTAGTGGAGAGGTCTTAAAATGTACGAAGTCTTAAAAAGAGGTCTTATTAAATTTCATTCTTGATTCCTGTTTATACTAAATAGCATATTTAGTTAAATAGCTCAAAAAATTGCCAACAATAAAACTCAAATTTGAGCATTTTTTTTACATTTTAAAGGGGACCTAATATGCAAAAGTCAATTTCTGTAAGAGGTTTAAACACTGCACTGGCAACAGTGCGTTAATTTAGCCAGTTCCTAAGTTACAATTAATTAATGATTTTTTTTATAATCACACCTTAGCGGTAGAAACACTTTGACATTCTCCCTTCATACGTGTCATCAGTGGGGGAAAGCCCCGCCCATTTGCGACAAACTTTCCGTCATTAACATAGACAGCCCTGAGTGTGAAGCAGGCGTTTACTATTTGTTCAGAAATGACGCTCTGATCAACTTTGTTTTCTATTTTTAGGGCTCACAGAACACCAGAGATGAAGAACGACAGTTTATGCAATGAATCTCAGTTTCAAATCGACCTTCTCCCACCCATGTATGGCATTGAGATGACTGTGGCCCTGCTGGGCAATATATTTGCCCTGTGGCTCCTGGGGACCAGAGAGAGGAAGGACTGGCACACTGGTGTAGTGTTCTCCTGTAACCTGGCCATCAGCGATGTTCTTTACATCCTGACCCTCCCTTTGCTCATCATTTACTATGGCAAGAAGAAGAATTGGACCTTTGGGGATGCTGTATGCAAGATCGAACGCTTCCTCTTCACCAGCAACCTCTATGTCAGCATTTTCTTCATCATGTGCATCAGCGTCAACAGATACATTGCCATCGTGTACCCCTTCTTCACCCGGAGCTACGTGCGCCCTGTACACGCAAAGATCGCAAGTGTGCTGGTGTGGTTCATCGTGATCATCACTTCATCACCGGTTTTCAGTTTCGCTGGAACCGAAGTCGTGGAATCAGATCGCGTACACAACCGCACTCTTTGCGTCTCTTGCAAAGATAAAAGTAGGGCGAAATCCCATTTAAAGTACACGTTGTTTCTTATGGTTGTTGGATGCATGATTCCTTTTCTAGTTACCTTTGCGTCCTATTTGGGTGTGATTTGGACTGTTTTGAAAAATAAGAACATCACCACATTAGAGAAGAGAAAAGTGGCTCTGATGGTCGCTCTTGTCTGCATTCTTTACGCGACGTCGTTTGTCCCCTATCACTTTCTGCAGACTTATCACGTGTACCTGAAGTCAGAGAATTTAAAAGAGTGCTGGTTGTATAATTCATACCAAGTCTCCAAAGGTCTGGCCACGCTGAACATGTGCTTGCATCCGCTTTTGTACATGGCTGTGTTCGACAGCATACGGACAGTTTGCTGTGGAAGAAGCTCAGATGATTGATTTTTATACAAACTATATCTTGGCCAAAAGCTCACACAGTGGTTTCCTGCTGTAGATTATGCTTAGGGTTTCCTTTTATGCTTGTGCTCTGTGTTTGCACGCCAACAAACCACAAACCAAATGGAAATTATGTTTAACTGACATTTAAAATGCTTCAACTGTGTTCGCTGTAAAGAAATGCAAATTAAAGATATTTAAGAGAAAAAATGCTGTTTAAAATTTTGTTTAAAGAATATTTTACACCTTTTTTATGATTTAATATTAATATTATGGTTCTTCTGAGTGTGCCAGTTTAGGTTCAGTTCAACACACAGTTCAGATGTTTTTATTATAATGTGTTAAACAGTGTTGTTTTGGGGGCGTGTACACAGTTTGCTGTTTTAGGGGTGTGTTGCTTCACATGAAAATTAGTTTCAAATTCCCGCCCAACGTAACAAGGGGGCGGAGCCAAGAGCTCCCATGCTCTGTGTTTGGCAACAAACAGGAAGACAGAGAAGCTGCATGAGAGGATCAGCATTCAGCCGTAAATGTACGCCTCGGCCACAGACCAAGCAGAACTAAACCAAAAACCACCAGCTATACAGACTCTAGACAGCCTCTAACAAGCTGTCTGTATCAACACACACACACACACATAAGCACCAAGCAAGTGACACACACACACACACATAGGCATCTCTCTTTCTCTCTTTCTCTCTCACACACACACAGAGCAACAGACAAGCTAAATGCAGCATCACGCTGTCTCATTCACACCCATACATGCACGTGCTCGCTCGCCTTTAGTGACAGCGCTTTGACTCACACTCTGAAAATTGTGGACGTGAAACGACAAACTGAGAATTAGGTGGTGCGTGCTAGAGATCTGCGCGGGACTAAATTTTGAATCCCGCACCCGCCAGGTTTTAGCCCGAACCCGACCGCTCCCGCTTATATTAAGAATTTATTGTCTCGCTGCCCGACCCGCCCCGTTTTCTGGCCGCCGCGCCCGATCCCGCTAAAGAGCGGGGGAGAACAAAACCGAAAATCCCCCAGCTATACAGTCCAGACAGCCAAGCTGTCTGTATAAACACACACACAGCACCAAGCACACACACACAGACAAATCTCTCTCTCTTTCATACGCGCGCGCACTAACACACACAAGCACCGAGCAGACACACAGGCGTTTGCTGTTATATCAACTCAAAGGGTTGTAATACCATGTATCAAGTACCAATGTAATACCAAAAGGTTTTATATAAAGGTATATAAATACTGAGTCGCGCCAGCTCTAGGCCGCATCGCACATTACTCTCGGGCCGATTCTCGCTTACGGCCGCCACATCTGGCCCGATTGATTTGGACCAGAATCGGGCAGTGAGTCCACAAGCATCCGGAGTCCGGCAGCCGGAGCTGGGCTGTGTGGTAAGTCTCCGGCAGGCGAGAATCTAGCCGGAACTGGCCCGAGTGTATTTTGCTATCTGGGAAAGCTCTCTCTCATTCACGCGCGCGCGCACTAACATACACACACACAAGCACCAAGCACACACACAGGCAAACCTCGCTCTCGATCTCTCTCTCTCTCTCTCTCATTCGCATAGTTATATCCGCTATATTGCTAGACAGCCTGCTACCGTCCCAAATTAAACCCGTTACCAACCACTCCCGCGATTTATTCGGAAATTTATTTGGTCGGGTCCTGCGGCGCCCGCGGGACAGCCGCGGGAATGCAGACCTCTAGCGCGTGCATGTCAATCAATATTGGTGGGCGGGGGGACCGCATTCCTACGTCAAGTTGCGGTCGATCTAAAAACCGCTCCAATTGGTCCACTGATTTTATGTTGTTAAATTGAGTAAAAGGACTTTGTGTGTTTATATCACCCAAATATGTCGCTCTATACACTATACTTACACACATGTCTGTCCAAACAGCTTAAAAAGTAGATTTTTCACCATAGGTGCCCTTTAAAGAATTTGTGAACGCAGATTAGGATCAGATGAAGCGAATCACCTAAAGCAAATGCTGGTGATGTGTCAGTAATAGTGGTTATGTATCACAAATCTCACGGTTTGGATCATATGTCTTTTCTTTAGTCACGGATCGGACCATTTTTCGGATCAGCCAAAAAGAGGAGGAGACACATGTAATTTTCTTTCCGTTTTTATGAAAACAGAACTGCAAGACACTTTTGGTTTTAACAAACAGAACTTAAAGCGTGTAATTTTGTTAAAAATAAAATGAAGAAATAATCAGCTGATTAATGAGTAATGTGAAAAGTTAACTATTCCTACTATTGTTGCTGATGACGCTAAATGCATAAATCTAACATTATAGTTTGTACAACCTGAATTTATCGTTAGTCTCATTTTTAATAAATGATTCAGTTGACCATAGTGTGTGAATTGGAGAGTGTGTGGATGTTTCCCAGCACTGAGGGTTGTGGCTGGTAGGACATTCACTGGTAAAACGTTTGCCAGGGTAAATGAAGGTTAATTATGGCAATCCCTGATAAAGCAGGGAATAAGCCAAATTAAAGTGAGCATTATTATTATTATTATATTATTATTATTAAGTTACAATGTATGTGAATAAGTGTGCATGTGAAAACAGGAGTTTACTGAATAAGCTATTTAATAGAAGATTAATTGTTTACTAGGTGTATAAATGTTGAAGAATTATTCAGTGGCAATGCTTTCCTTCTTGAGTTAAATGCATATGACAGTGATTTTAATATTTATCATACACAACAGTGGTTTTATCTGAACTATGAACTGTTATTCCAGTACTTCTGTGTTATTTGACAGTTTGTATCTTCATAACTAACTCAAAAGACTAAAGACAGAATCTTTTAATAGTTTTTAATCTTTTAATAAACATGTGCTTTCCCAGAGATGGGTTGCGGCTGGAAGGGCATCCGCTGCTTAAAACTTGCAGGATAAGTTGGCGGTTCATTCCGCTGTGGCGACCCCGGATTAATAAAGGGACTAAGCCGACAAGAAAATGAATGAATGAACATGTGCAAATCATTATCACTTATAATTTAGGTTGTGTGGGTGTTGAGATCCTGATCTTTTAATGATTAATCGTGCAGCTTACACTGTATGCATTAATGCAGGCTAAACAATAGTGACAGAAAACACCTTTAATAACCTAAGAAACCAACCACATAGCGAATAACTCACCACAACTTTTTCCGTCATCATATTTTACAGGAAAGCCTAAATGCTTTCATACATGTGATTAGAAGGATGCGAGAGGCGATTTCTCTCTGTGATCATTACAAATTTAGTATTAATCTGCAAAAAAAAATTATTAATCCACAGGTCATGTGTGTTGTGATGCATACGAATCATGGATCAACCGTGATCAGTTACACCCCTAGTCAGTAATACAAATTAATTTTAAGGTAAATCAAAGTACAAAATTAGTCAAAGTAAAGTGGCAAAGGTTTCAAATAACTTTTGTAAAACTAAAATGTCAAAATATGGGTGAAAAGTGCATGATCGTTGAGTGTTGCAGAAGTATACATGTTAAAAATTAAACATTTTATTCATTTTCTTTTCTGCTTAGTCCCTTTATTTTGTCAGAGGTCACCACAGCGGAATGAACCACCAACTTACTTATCCAGCATATGTTTTACTCAGAGGATGCCCTTGCAGCTGCAACCCAGTACTGGGAAATATCCATACATACTTATTCACACACATACACTACAGCCAATTTAGTTTATTCAGTTCACCTACACTGCATGTTTTTGGATTGTGGGGGAAACCGGAGCACCCGGAGGAATCTCACGTGAACAAGGAGAGAACATGCAAACTCCACACAGAAATGCCAACTGATCCAGCCAGGACTCAAACCAGCAACCTTCTTGCTGTGAGGTAACAGTGCTAACCACTGAGCCACCGTGTCACCCTATATGGCTGTTTATTTGTAGACATATGGTGTTTCAGTTGCACAGCATAATGGGAATTCCATCATAGTTTACGGACATTAAAAAAAAAATATTGCAAATGGTTTGTGCAATGGTTTAAAGTGATATTCACCCATGAATGATACTCACATACTCAATTTGTTCAAAATCTGTTTGAGTTTCTTTCTTCTGTTGAACACAAAGAAGGATAAACTGAATAATGTTGGGGGAAAAGAGCAATTTTCCACCCAAAATGTATTACACACTAGGCAAAACTGTCCAGCCAGAGTCTGGGTGGCTGTCTCCCGCTGCAGTCTTCCGCAGGCACAGATGGCGCTGTAGCGTTGCGTGTCCTTTCTCTTGCTCCCGTCCCGCGAAACGCTTCCTCTAGAAGCTCGAGACGACCCGCAAATATGCCGTCGATCGAATTCGACGAGTAAGTTTTACATTTATGAAACCGTAGAGCTTTTTTGTATTCACAGCTGGTTAACAGTCATCTAATGGCTTGTGTTTTTTGACAGCTCAAAGCCTAGCTGGGCCGATCAGGTGGAGGAAGAGGGAGATGAAGGTACGAGGCCGCAGCTCAGCCTGCGCTCATACACACACGCACGTGTTAAACAGTCTTTAATTAATTTACACTTGTTACATAAAGCGATATGAACACATACCTTACATATGCACAAAACACACTCCTTACGGTAAATATTGCGGTCAGTGAGCTCAATGCCATCTTGACTTTAGAAAGCAGATGGTGCTTTGTTATCTTTGTTATCTTCTATGCTACATCGAGCTATAAAGTAACTTATACGTTAATATACTGTACATATGCACGACTGTTAATATACTATACTTATTCTACGCCATATTTCACTTTAACAATTTACTTTGTTGTTGTTCTATGTCATACTTTAAGTTAACGTTAAGTTAAATTAAGTTAGTGACAACAGTTAAAGCTTAATATAAATAAATAACCGATGTTAGATGGCTTATAATACTAGTATATATTTGTAACACTATTTATTCATTTATTGATATTTAAAAATATTATTTATGAATATGTAAAGGTAAATGTGTAACTTGCGTGAGTTTTTTTTCTGGTTCTAGTTTATTTTTCCCTATCAGTGTAATCACCTAGTTTTTTTTAAAGTTTATATACAATCATATACACTTTGACATGTGACATGGCATGTTTTCATGTTGGAGGTAGCAGTCATAAGATAGAGATGTTGGATCATAAGTTGATAAATATGGTGTTTAAATGATACGTATTTTGGTACAAAGGGACTCGGAGTGTAGATAGAAAATACCACCAGCAGCCTGAACCAATTAAACATGGTAGGACAGATCCAAGCTTTTATGTTATTCTACACCAAATTCTGTCACTGTAATCTGAATGTTTCTGTCAAGATTGAGACTCGTAGGACCAGTTGTTGAATCTGTCTGAATTGTACCTGGAGTTTGCTGTTTTAAGCTGACAGGAGTGTCACTAGTGTCTTTCTGCTGTTGTAGCTTATCTGCTTCAAGGTTTAGTATATGTTCTGAGATTCTCCTCAGAAAATTTGGATTACTGTTGCTGTTATATCACCTTAAATCAGTCTATCTGTTTTCCTCAGAACTACTCCAACAAGACTGAACTTCTGTTCACAGGACATTTTTAGTAATGTTTGTGTACAGTTGGACAACATTAACAACAAAATCTGTCAGCATCAGCCACACCACAATCAACTTTATCACTTTTTGTCCCCATTCTGAAGCTCAGTTTGATCATCAGCAGATGGTTGTAACCATGACTAAATGTCTAAATGCATTGAGTTGAATTTAATGTGATTGGCTGATTATGTATTCATGTTAGTCTAGTTTAACCTGAGTACCTAATAAAGTGGCCAGTGGATATACATGGCAGCACTAAACATGGATATATATATATATATATATATATATATATATATATAGTGTTTGAATGAGCTAAACAGTTATAGTCTCTGTGCTAGATGAGAAATGCTAACTAACTATATTCCTGCATCTGTAACAGATCTGTTTTCTTACACTTCAACAGGTTCACTCCCTTCACCAAAAGAGACCGTCAAGGGTAACATCAAGACTGTCACAGAATACAAAATCGATGACGATGGCCAGAAGTTTAAGGTCAGTAAAGTTTTAAATGTTTTATATTACATATAAATAGTGCTTGTTTAAGGGAAATCAGACTTGAAATTTTCTTTTCTCTCCTTTGTGGCCAGATTATCCGGACTTTCAAAATTGAGACACGAAAGGCCTCTAAAGCTGTTGCCAGGAGGAAGGTATGTTGTAATTCAGTGGTTCACAAACTTTTTTCACCAAGTACCACCTTAGAAATAAATTCTCTCCAAGTACCACCATAATGACCAGTATTGAAATGAAGTAGCGTAGTTGGCCAAATTAAGCAGCTTTAGAAACTGCACAGTTCAAAAACAAGTCATGTTCATATTTATTGATTTTTTTTTTTTTTTTACATTTTGAAATGTATGTTGCATGTACATATGACATATTTGTAAACTTTTTGAAATCTAAACATTGACTTGTATGTAGATTGGTAGGGAGCCCATTTTTCTCAGAGGATGTCAGGCTGACAAAATGTTTCTGCACTCTGATACAAGTTTTATTTATCGAGAAATTAAAAAAGCACTGCAATGTTTTTGTGTTTTGTGTTTGTCTGAGATAATTAGTCTAACAAAATTACATTCCATACAAAATATGAGGCTGATTAGTCGGTTCTTGTCACGTGACTCGCGGTGCGGCATTCTGAAAAGTTAAGATGTTTTTTAACTGTGTACGCCTGGAATATGCAAGTGGGTCATGCTGCAGTTCTTATTCATTTTGCTAGTCTGTGGGTTTAATTTTGGCACTCAAGTGACCCTCAGTAGATGTAATGAGAGAATACAGTCATTTTTCAAAATAAAGAGTTTTTAAAATAAATGATCGTTCAGACTCTGAGTGGAAATAATTTCTGATTTTTTGTGCGGCCCGGTACTAATTGATCTATTGACTGGTGCCGGTCCGTGGCCCTAGGGTTGGGGACCACTGCGCTAGTGTGTATCTGCTCTGCAAGCAACATGCAGCTGATGACGCGATGAACTAAAGTAAACATTCTAAGCACAGCGATTTGATCGTAGGCTTCAGAGAACAGCCAATGCTGAGAGAGGAGTCTGGATGCAGACCCAATGCAGTGCAATCTAAGCTGTATCCAATGCTTTTTAATGCGCTTGCCTAACCCCACCCCTAATCCTTTCCATCACAGTGACGTCACTCGCTCCATTTGAGCGCATTGTGTCTGACATTGCATCGCATCATAAAGGCTGCATTCAGATACTATTGAATGCTGATTACACCGGTGTTATCGAGCACATCAAATGATCAAAATTGTGTTCATTTTTTCTTTCGTTACTCAGTGATTTCTCCGTTTACCGCTAGAAGTAAGCCTGCGTAGCACTATTGGTATACGTACCACAGTTTGAGAACCACTGTTGTAATTTATCTAAAATATATGTATATCTAAATATGTTAAACCTATTGTTTGTGCATTATTTGTTGAGATCATTTCTCATTTCCCAACAGAACTGGAAAAAATTTGGCAACTCAGAATATGATGCACCAGGCCCAAATGTTGCCACCACTACAGTGAGTGATGACGTCTTCATGACCTTCATCTCCAGCAAAGAGGTATGATGGCAGTTGTCCGTTTTCAGAAAGTGTTTTTCTTTGGTTGCTCAGTGCACAAGCGTTTTGAAAGCTTCCCAGTTCTGACGTTTCACTTCCCTGTTGTACAGATGCCAACTTGAAGTGATCCTTTGACTGTTTTGTAGGATTTGAATGCTCAAGACCAAGATGAGGATCCCATGAACAAGCTGAAAGGACAGAAGATTGTGTCCTGCCGAATCTGTAAGGGGGATCACTGGACCACCCGCTGTCCATACAAAGATACGCTTGGTCCCATGCAGAAGGAACTGGCCGAGCAGTTGGGGCTGTCCACAGGAGAGAAAGAGAAGGCAGCCGGTACGAAACCTTCATGTTGTCGTATTCATTTTGACACTGTTAATTTTGAGATCCAATTAGTATATTTAATGTAAACTGTTATATTTTATTATCCAGAGCCTGAGCCGGCCCAGCCTGTCCAAAACAAGACTGGGAAGTATGTTCCCCCAAGTCTACGGGATGGTGGTACGCGCCGAGGAGAGTCTATGCAGCCTAACCGCAGAGGTACACATTGTAACATTCAAATATTGACTTCTTAATTAAGGGCCTAATTTAAACTTCTTTTAAACTTTTTCCCCCAGCTGATGATAATGCTACAATCCGTGTGACCAACCTGTCCGAGGACACCAGGGAGACCGATCTGCAAGAGCTTTTCAGGCCTTTCGGCTCCATATCTAGGATCTATTTGGCAAAAGATAAGAACACCGGCCAGTCTAAGGTAAGAGATGAAACGCAACCATTAAGGCTGATTTATACTACTGCGTCAAGTGCACGCATATGCTTCGAGAGCCGCGCGAAGCCCAATGTAGCGATTGTTTACAAGTGTGGAGTACGCGATGGAGCTCCTGATGGAAAGTTTTGTTTTGTTTTGTGTTTACCTCATAGTTAAAGTAGTTGCACGTCTGCCGGTTCCTGCCTCAAAATGAGCGAGTTTGAGGCACTTGTACATCCCGGAAGCGTTCAGAAAGAACAAAACACAGGCGAAGAAACTCGACACATTAACACCTGACTGGCAACTAGCGTTTTGGAAGTGTTAATGCAGACCAACAGAGACAGCGCGCAGAAGTATAAATGCACAGCTACGCGCGTTGCATGCGCCGTTCGTTACACCGGTCATTTGAGGCAGAAGTATAAACCAGGCTTTAGGCCTGTCGCAATAATCAAAATATCGAATTATCGTGCAATACATGGTTACGACCTCAATTATTTTTGCAATATACATTCACAAATAACATTTAAAGCCTTTTTACAATTAAATTTATGTTCACCTCACCGTTGTCAAAGTTAATAATTGGACATTTACTTAATAGGATACAGAATAAAAAATTTGGTGCGTCCCAAATTGCATACTTATGCACATAATGGCATTAAATAAATAGTGTAATTAATGCATTCACATTGAAAACTAAATAGAATAAGTGCCCTTTAAATAACCGAATGATGCACTTATTCAACTTTTAAAACGAAGTGTGGATTGTTGGAAACTTCACACACTCTATGGCCGCTGCTTTGCTCACATAGCAGGGGGGGGGAGCTTTCTCGCACTCATGTTGGATTACTTTATTTAGTTTGGAATGTGAAAGCAAAATTCTCTGAAGAGAGTAATTATACCGCCTTTTGATGGTGAATGCATTTATACTTCTGGCAGATATTATTTGGTAGTTTAGTCATTTCTTTCACTAATTTGGCAACCGTCAAACATCATCAGGGAAATGGTTTTAATTTTCACTTAGTAAAAAAAAAACTTTAGCGTTCCATTTGAGACAACACTACACATATACTATGCTGTTGAGTGTGTAAGTGCATAAGTACATAGTGCATCAGTGACTATGTTTCAATCCACCTATTTTTATGCGCATTTTGGATATGCGCATAAAAAACAGTTGATGGAAACGCCATGATGCGCATACATTTTGAAAATATGCATCAAAAAAAACATATGCGCTAAGTAGGATAAACTTTTTATTCGATAAGAAAGATGCGCATAAACTATGATGGAAACATTTTTAACAAACAAAGTCTAGTATGCGCATTCAAAAAGATTGTGATTTTGTTAAAAGAGATCATGTGATGATGAAAATGTGTGTGAATGGATAAACCAGCAGGCTGAGCTCATTATAAAACATCTGAAATGTTGTTTTAGTCATTCTAAAACGCCTTACCGTTTCATTATTAGTGTTACTAAATTATTAGTGACCTACAGAATCAAGAGCATCTGTGCTCCGCGTCTGACGTCTTTTATGCAACAATCCAGTTTTGCACACAAAGTTCATTCGCATTTTTGGATGGAAACATAGCTAGTGTATAGTGTGCCATTTGGAACGCTGCTATTTACTTTTTAACATCAAATTGCAGAATCTAAATAACCTTAAGAGTTAAAATCGTTGTCTCTTGAATGTTTATGGCTATTTTCATCATGCTGTTGTATGTCATTATATAATCAGTGGCATAAAAGGATCTCAATTTGACAATAATATCGCTTATTGCAGCCATTTCTGAGACAATATGTTGCACAACAAAAATTCTTTGTCGTGACCGGTCTTGCAACCATAATGGTTTTGTGGTCAAATGACATACAAGTCCACATGAAATCAATTTACAGTGTTTTATTTGCTAGTGCACATTGTTAGTGCTGAAGTGAACAAATCAACTATAAAAAAAAAAAAAAAATTGGTTTGATCATTTTTAATCAAAATCTGAACATTTGCTTCCACCAAGGAACTGCAGGTCTTCTGATGTCAGTTTGATGGCTTGTAGATTTATGTTACGATTATTTAAGATGGAAACGCTAGGGTTAACGCAACATTTATAATTTATGACCCTTTTATGAATGGTGGTGGCAATGAAGCAGACAAACAACCAAACTATGCCAAAAATGTGTTTATTTTACAAAGTGGATAAATGATAAAGTATATACAAAATAAAGAAAACAAGAATACATAAATGGTTGTAATAAAGGGGAGGAGGAACAAATGTGGCACCAAAGAAAATAATATAAAAAACACAACTCTAACTAGAACCCACAATCTCGATACTATCTAATAAAAGAAAGAGAAAGAAAAGTCTTCAGCGTTTTCACGCCCTGTCTAAACTACAGTTCTAAACACAAATGTAAACAAAACTTACAATTAGTGGCGCACACGTCTAAACTAGTGTGTATAATACATGGGTATCTCCTATGTGTAGCAACATGTAGGTCACGTGACATCTACCCTGTTCCTCGAATCCTATTGATGTTGTATATCTAGTAATCAGAGAGAAAACACAATTAGAACACTTTTAAAGAGATTTCAGCACAAATGACTATAGCACACATAGCACAACAATCTGTCGCGCCATCCAGCAAAACAGTCAAACAACACTGCAAACGCACAACAGTGAGCAAGCAAAAAGTTAGCTAGCTTTCAACTGTGCCATCTGCTTGTGATTGGTCATTGACGACATCATTTTAAATGGTAATGATGACTGGCATCTAACTTAGCCAATGGGTAAATGAACTGGGCGGACCTAAAGAAAATGATAGGTAGAGAAGAAGAGAGAGGAAAAAACAAACAAACACAGGCACAGATACTTAGACGTAACAATTTACTACAAACAAAATCGAAAAAAATAACTGAAAATGTCATTCCCGACCAAATGAGGTCAAGACAAAGTTTGTTTTAAAGTTAATTTCGGCAGCTCAAAACACCCGTTTTGGCTCCTTAACACCTTTGAGCGTTGGTCCATGTCATCAGTGGGTGTGTTCTAGAACTCCACTTTCTTTAAAGTGCTTTGTATGCAAGCAGTTCAGAGTCAGACAGGAGAAAATCATTAAGCACAAGAACACCAAGTTAATAACATGAATAAACTGGAGGGTAGAGTAGTGCAAAGGCATCCCCACACACTTGACTCAGACATATATACTTGGCGCTTTATGTAAATATGCAGACTTTCTTTAGTTTGCGGTAAGTGAAAGATGAGAGTTGCTCAAATCTAAAAAAAACATGGCCCATTTCAGTTGGAAATGCATCATTATGCTGCTGAGTTTTACTTCAGTCATTTTTAAGAGTTCTCAAAATTATGATGCACTATTCTTTTCAACATATTCATACAGCACATGTTTTATGTCTCTCCAGGGCTTTGCCTTCATCAGTTTCCACCGCCGTGAGGACGCTGCCAGAGCCATCGCTGGTGTGTCAGGCTTTGGATATGATCATCTCATTCTCAATGTGGAATGGGCAAAGTGAGTCCTCCTGAAGCTTACTTTTAATCAATCAATCAATCGTTGTTGGTTTTTTCTGATCTAATCTGTTTTCTTTGTATTTCCAGACCCTCCAATAACTGAGGAAATTCCATAAATATTCCAGGAGGTTTAGATGTGTTCCCCCAAGTGTAATAAGACCATGATCCAAATAAATGCAAATTATTAAAACATACAGTTGTGTTTTACTAGCTTGGGTGATTTACTGTGTTGTTGTTTAATTCGCTTGTTTACACTTGTATGCAGTAGTCAACATTTTAAGTGGATCCAATTTTTATTATTGTCCTAAGATAAGAATGGGTGTTGTTGGATCATCAAAGTTGATCCACTTTAAATGTTGACCACTCTAAGATTGCTTTAAAAGCTGCAAGTAACATTTTAACAGTCTGTTATCAGAGATGCTCTCAAACACAGTCTTTATTTCCACAATTTTCTCTGCCTCTAGTCTCTGTTCAGCACATTTAATGAAAGCTGTTAGAGAAAAATAAAATAGATTGTGTTATGGGTGGATCATTTAATTTTAAATTTGTTGAAATTGTCATGTTTTGATTATTGTGAGGTACTCTTCTCGATTGCTGTGGTAATTTGGATATACTTAATTACATTGCAGCAATGTTAATGTACAGGTCTAGTATGGCTGAATAAAAATAACTTGTGTAATTAATTTTGTAAATAGTAATATGCCAATTAGTGTATTACTGTAAAGAGATGTTCAGGCTTTGATTACATCAAAATAAGTTAGCAACAATTTGAAATATATATCAAGACTATTCATATTTATTATGCAGCTCTGCATCACTTAATTATGCCCTGTATTGTCAAAGTTGGCAACATTTTGGAGATATTTTCTCTAAGGCGGGCTTCACTATTCACGCAGCTTCAGCGTGACTGTTGGGTGTTGGCGGTAATGGAGGCTGCTAAGGTAAGTTCATTTATGTATAATATATAATAGGCTTCATTTAATAAAAAGATTAACACTAGTAATATGAGTACACAATCCTTAATCAAACTTACCCTTCGGAGTTTCTCAAAAGTTACAGGCTTAAATGTTATATCTTGTTAACGAAACGTTATTTGCATTTTCGAAAATCCCTCATGAAAAAAAAATTCTAACTTTTAGTAGACTATTAAAGTAATTTAGCTGTATACAGCAACTGTTTTCTACAATTATTGGGTGTTGGTTAGTTATTGCTATGTGTAGCATTAATTTTAAACAGTGTAAATACCATTCAGTAGAATAGACTATTGTACGGTTCAAAAACAGCTCTTCCTTATATATGATAGTTTTTATAATCTGCATTCCTACATTTTGCATGCCTATTGTCATGCCACATAAGAGTAACTTGCATGTTCACCTCATTTTATGGCTGCCAAACAACTGAAAAGTAGCTCCTTACATTTTCCAATTTGGTCTGCATTTTCTAAGAGTTGTCCAGTATATTATCAAAATTACAAAATAAAAGGGAGCGTTCAGTTACTTACAATATTTTAGAGAAACGTGTTTAAAAGCTTCTTTAAAAAGGAAATGTTCATTAAATTTCAAATAGATGGAGGAAAACAAATTAAAAACATTTAATAAGAGCTTTATTTGAAATATTACAACATATAAAAACCTATATAGAATTTATACCACTGTCTTAGAGTGGACAATTGCAAATACATGGTTAAAATCACATTTAGAAATTGATAAAACATCACATGAATGGCACTGCACAGACTGTCCATAGAAAGGCCGCAGAAGTGGCCAAGCTCTACACCAGCTTATGAATAACAAAATGTTTAAAATGGAGTGATGCTTCAGACGGATCCAAACACAATGAAAAATGTGCTTCAATTTTACAGAATGATGGCTTTAGTCAGAGAGCTCCATTTTCTCCTGCTTCACAGGCTCTGAGAAAACACAAGAAATTAAAATGAGATACTCGTTTAGATCAGTGCTTTCAATTTAAAAAAAACTATAAATACCTGTAGCATTCTCCCTCATTTTCTCCAGCACACACTTCTTGACCTCCAGGCCAATGGCTTTGGAGAGGGGTGGAGGAACAGCATTACCAACCTTAGGAAAAAAGAAAAAGTATTACCTAGTGTACGATTTTAAAATGGATGAAAAAAAAAATTGACCAGTGCAGAACACATACTTGTCTGTGTTTGTCTAGCACATTGCCAAAGAAGCGGTAGGTGTCTGGGAAGCCCTGAGAGCGTGCACATTCCCTGACACTCACCACACGGTGCTGCTCAGGGTGAAGGACACGTCCCTGGGGGCAAATAGTTTAAATAAGTACATAAGGCATATGGTGTGCATTGATTCAGTATAAAATGATGCATCAAGACTGGTCAGCATATGGCATGTAGGCAATACCTGCTTTCCCATTGGCTCAGGATTGGTAACTGTAGTGCTGAAGAATCCGTCCCATTCCAGGCGGCCATACAGACCAGCCCAGTGATTATGGCGGTTACCCGTATGAGGCAGACACCAGGGAATCAGGGTGTTGAACTGCCTGTCTGCAGGATCACACGGTTTTCCTAGTGTGATGACGAAGCAGAAAAGTCAGGACTACCATTCACTAAGTGCAACAAAAGCCCAAACTGGTATAGCAAGTAGACCAACCTTCAGAACATGAACACACTCCTCTCAGGGCACCGGTGCCACTGCGGCCATTCTTTTTGTCAGGGTGTGTGTAGCGAAGCTTTTTTGTGGTGGTGCCATCCCGCAACCGCACCTCAAAATTAGGTAGATCCCTCCAGTCTGAACCAGGAGCCAGAGGAATGTTACGCATGCGGGCAGCAACCAGGGCACTCATGTCCTTCAACACAAATTAAACCATTACATGATTGCTAGAAGAGTAGACCAAGTTTCAGTGCATTCCCTCAGAAAACATTAAACATTCAGCACGATAACAGCTTCTGCAATACAGTATGAAAAAGTCAGTTATATTCTGCATGCATCAAATGTGTTAACTGGTTGAGGTTAACGATGAATCTATTTTTCTAGATGTCACAACAAAGTCAATGACAACAGCACACAAGAGGGACTGACCTTGCAGATGTGGTCCCTGAGGATGGGCTGATACTGAGAGCCCCGAATTTGCCTCTGGAACCAGGACTGTGGCTCGCCATTGTAGGAAATCTCTAGTGCAGCAGCTCCATTGCGGATTTCTGGGAGGTCAGACATGGTGTCCCGTACTGTGATGGTGCGATAAATGCCCCCATTTCCACTGCAGAAACAAGTAAGTTTAATAAGATCAGAAACAGCTAAATAAATCGGGGTATGCGAACATTATAGAGAAAGCATTTCATTACCGAGTAACATTGCTGACATATTTCTTCTCATCAACTGCCACACTAAGAGAACATGCTCGAGGGGCAAACACATGCAAGGGTTCAGGGTAGCGGGGCAGCTTTTCACCAGGGGCTGCAGCCAGGATGATAGCTCTGCGTCGAGTCTGGGCCACCCCATACTGTCCAGCCTGCAGATACCAGGGTAAATTAGGTGCATTAAAGATTTGCTTTGATAACAGAATTTCTAAAATGCAGCATCTGACACACTTGTGGCCCAAAGTTGAAATTAACATCCTAACCCTTGAACTAAAATATTTTATTTAGTCAAGAACCTTAAGACGGACATGGTTCCAAAATAGCTACTGTAACGGAGTCTTTATGCAGAGGATGATAACGTTTAAGGCATTTACAAAATAAATAAATAAATTTTTTCGTAGTTTGGAAAAGTCAAGGTTTTAAAACTAGTAAAACTCTGCTATACCGTTTCTAAAGGTGTAAGAATTTTTTATTTTTATTTACTTTTTTATAAAAGAAAGTGTATCTTTGGATATCTTTTCTGCTGGATATCTGGAGAGCTAAAAGAAATCTGTTGTAGAAACTAATGAAGACAGCAGAGGCGAACGATTTATGTGACTTAATTAGCCTGACAGGTTTACTGCTCCAAAATATTTTAAAAATCTTTAACAAAATAAAACTGTTCAAAGGGGAAAAAAAAAAAAAAAAAAAAAAAAAGTTTTACCCAGACATTTAATAAGAATATAACTTAGAGCTGTAATCGCATTACAGTGATTTTTATCCAAGGTTATCATACCGTCAGAATCTTATTTCAGCCCATGCCTAATAATGAATGAGATGAGCATAAGAAAATCAGATGAACGAAGAGTTTCTATAACTTGTGGAACCAACAGAACCTAAATTTAATCGATTCAGGAAAGCAAGTGTACGAAATTTAATTAACTCTATTTATCATCCACAGCAATTTATTGTAGCAATAAAGTCCAAGGCAAGATCAAAACACACAGATAAAAAGAATTACAAACCATTTTATAAAGTTTCAGCTTGATGACAACTTAAGGCTGATTTATACTTCTGCGTCAAGCGCACGGGTATGCTACGGCCCAGCCTATGCGTTGACGCATAGCCCTAAGCCGTGGCTGACGTCCACCTCTCAAAAAAAAAAAGTAAACTACACATCGTACGATGCATAGCGCAAGCTCAGTGATTGGTCGGCTTGGTAGCGCTGACGGGTCAGGGTGGGACCAAGAGCCCGGCAAACCCGATAGAGCGATTGTTTACAAGTGTGGAGTCCCGTGAAGGAGCTCCGGATGGAAAGTTTTGTTTTGGGTTTACCTCATAGTTAAAGTTGTTGCATGTCTGTCGGTTCCTGCCTCAATATGAGCGAGTTTGAGTCACTTGTACATTCAGGAAGCATTTAGAAAAAACAAAACTGCAGCGAAAAAACTCAACACAGGAACATTAACACCTCACTGCCAACTAGCGTTTCAGAAGTGTTAATGCAGGCCAACAGAGACAGTGCACAGAAGTATAAATGCAAAGCCACGCAAGTTTATACAGAAGTATAAACCAGTCTTTAGGGCTTGTAAACAGAGCGCACATTGGACGTTTTTAAAAATGTATCCCTGTGAATTGTCAAGTGGTCTTTAAATTTCATATTCTAATAAATTAGGTTTTATGGTGAGAGAGGCTTGAGAGTGGTTACATATTGGTCATGAATTATTTTTCAGTAAACAATCGAGTCAACCTGGAGCCTTTCAAAAACTAAAATCAACATACAGTTGGTGCTATAGCCTATAACATATTCAAGAACAACATGCAAACAATAAAGTAACTCACCTGCAGCACACCAAAGGTGCACTGGTAGCCCATGCGCACC